AATCATTTGCAGATACGCGCAGGGCAGAGAAAAATTTTAGTTGTCACTCTGTGACACTCTGCCTTTGTGCTTCAGTCCTCATACCGTTAGTGTCTTTTTTGCTATTGAATACAACATAGTTTGCATTTTTGTGCTTTTTATTGGTGATTTTGCTATTTAAAATAGACCCTGAGCATTGTGCTTAAGTGCTGTCCCGTGCTCCTAAGCACAGGAAGGCTGGGATGTGCTTTACAGAGAAAACACATGTTAAGTGAGTGCCGTTGGCCCTAAGTCCAATGTTAATGAATCAGCAGAATGTATTAGATAAGGTATCTTTAAGCAGAAACACACATAAAACAAGGTTATATATTGATCAGTTGATGAGAATATTATGACCAGAGGCTTGCGGGACCCTAACCCTGTTTCCTCTAGGAGCGGTGGTTCAGTATTTGCTAATTCCATGATCACAGTGACTTTGAAGAATGTAACTACTGGGAATATGAGAATCTACTATGTGTATGTAAATATGTGTATTTTATATTTATAATTTTTATGATTATATTTGATTATTTTGTATTCATATGTAGTATTTATATATAAATACTTTTTTTCCCCCAAGTTAAAAAAAATTAGTGCAGGGCAGAGGAACTTGGAGAGTTGCCTGTGGGCCAGGCGTGGTAGGGTTCGGGAGAGGTGAACATTCAGCGGACGCAGGCGAGTTGATCGTACCCAGGGCTGTAGCAAAGGGCCCAGAAGTGGCCTTTGATTTGTGTGTTTACCTGCCATGTTCTCAAATTCAGGTCAGAAGTAAGGCATGCCAATCTCTTCTGTCTTCTCCCGGTTGCATCTGGCTGCTGGCTGTGCTTGTAAGTGAGCTTGGCGGTGCTGTGTGCGGCATGCTTCGGCTCTGCACAGAAGCGAGAGGGGGTAGACAGCACGACTTAGGCCAGGCCGACCAGAACAACACATTCCCTTACTGCATGTATGCTTGCACAAAGCTCAGCATATTTACCCCCTTGTCCTGTGAGCTGAGCTGAATGGGTGGGGAGCAAACATCAGTTTTGTCAATATTCATAAATATGACCCCCAAAGGTTATATGGACCGATGCCCTGTGACAACTTTCTGGGTGATGAGGAGAAAGGGAGCCAGGCAGCTCAGTGCTACTTGTTCCTAACTTTGTATTTTTTGAACCAGTGAGTTTCAAATCTGGGTTGTGACTCAGAAGCACCTGTAAATTATGTTCACAAATTAGGGGAATTAATTCAAGATGGATCATAAACTTAAATGTAAAAGCTACAATTGTAAAGCTTCCAGAAGAAAATGCAGGACGAAATCTTTTCAATCTGTGATTAGCAGAGGTTTCTTAATAGATATGGAAAGCAAAGTTCTACCCCCACCCCCCAAAAAATTACCTAATTAGAAACTTGCTTATCAAAAGGCACCATTGAGAAAGTTAACTGGCAAGCCACAGAATGGGAGAAAATATGTACAAAACATAATCTGACAAAGGACTTATATCTAAAATGTATAAAGAGCTCATAAAACTTAGTATAAAAAGAATAACTCAGACAAAAGATGTGCAAAAGATTTGAAGAGACACTTCACAAAAGAAGATTGAGAATGTCTAATAAGCACATGAAAAAGTATTGAACACCGTTAGTCACCAGGGAAGTGCAAATTACATTGAGACACCATAATGAGATCCTACTATATACCCACTGGAATGGATAACCTTAGAAAACTGACAGTACTACATGTAGGTATGTGTGTTGAACAAGCAGAAAGCTCATACGTTATTGGTGAGAGTGTAAAACAACAATTTTGGAATTGGTAATCCAGCAATTCTACTCCTAGATATTTATACAATAGAAATGAAAATATTTGTCTTCAAAAAGACTTAACATATACTGAAGTGTTTAGATGGGAAATGCTGATGTCTGCAACTTATTCTAAAATTTATCAGAAAATAGGATGGATTGGCAGAGAGAGGGCTAGATCTGTGATAAGGAAAATACAGTAGAGTGTCAACAGCTGCAGCCTGGAGGTGATGGCATATGTGTGTTCACTGTCAGTTTTTTTTTTCCCCTATATGGTCAAAACTCTTTCCAAGTAAGTGTTGGGAACAGTAAGTGACTGTGTTGTCCTGGTTGGCCTGGCCAAAGTCGTGCTGTCTACCCCCAGAGTCCAAAGTGGAATGAACTCCACCTCTGATGGAGAGGTGTGGCCCCCTAGAAGGGGAGTAGGGTACAGTTGCCTAAAGGAGATTGGGCCAAAGAACCAGGGAGCCAAAGAAAAAACAGTCTTTTTCCAAGGGCCCTGATGGTCCCAGGGCCTTACCTTTAACCCAGTCGTTGGGAAATCCTGTGGGATGTTGATAAGCCTCTGATCTTTCACACTGTTTGGAGATGAGGAAGGGCCCAGCTAATAACTTTATCCTCCATAGAACCAGAAAGAATTCTAGAATCTACCCTTCCATTCTGCAAACCCCATTCTGTTCCTTGGAGGTTGTAGGAAAACTGAGATTCTTCATGTGAGAGCTGGAGATCCCTCCCACCAGTTCCGAGCAAGGAAATCAGAGTGTGAACATTCCTGGGACCCCTTGCTGCATATGCATGGGTTGGTATCAGGCTTATTCCTAGATTCAGGGGCTAACCTGTATCCAAGGAAACTCAGCCTCAAGTCATCTACCTAGAAATGGAGTACTCTGACCTCGCAGTAGTCTGTGGCACAGAAAGCAGTCACCTGTGTGTGTCAGATCACACCACAGACACTCCTGCCTCTCAAAGGGGCAGTGTGGGGATTAGTGGGATCAATGTAAAAGCCACTTACCTTAAGTTCTCTAGAGGACAGAGGCACTGGAAGTGGAAAGGAGTGGATTCTGTGCAGTGACTCACCCTCTGGCTGTCCTTTCTTTGGGGCAGCACCCTGCTTGGGCTGCAGAACCTCACAGGTTCCTACTTTGAGACCATGTATACTGTACTGAGGAATTTCTCATCTGCAGTTTTTGAAAGCACAGAAGAACCAGGTTCCCTGTTGTGCTGATGTCATTATTTCCAAAGACATGGAAAGAGGGACAAAGGGGGAGAGTGGAGGAGAGAGGGAGGCAGGAACAGAGAGACATTCTCTGTTAGAGATTGCAGGGTTTTTCTGGGGGATGGGGAAGTAGTCCTCTTCTGTCCCCATGGAAACACCATTCTGACGGGCTCGTGGGTTCACACCCACTTTTTAATGTTACGTCAGTCAGCACAAGGCCAGGAAATGTTAAAGCCAGAAGACTTCTTGCGCTGTGAGCTGGCCACATCCTACATGCATGTCTGCTTAACTGTGTGCTTTCGCAATTGCGTGAGCTTGTGGCCTTTCTGTTGCCTTTGAAACTTTCCTGAAGTACTTTTCTGAATTGTGCATTACTTAGATTTCTTTTTTTCCTCTTTTGCTTCCAGTTTTTGTTTATATTGGCTGTGACTCTCATCTTGGGTTGAAAGCGAGGAAAATTGCTTGTAGGGGTTTTCAGGATTTCTGAATATGAAATGCAAGGAAGTTGCATAATGTTGCAGCATTTCCTCTTCTTGTTGCTTGCTTGTTACCCAAAATACAGTAGTTCCTTCTATAAGCTTGAAGGAATTTGGTAGGTCCTACCCTCTGATGGTCTATTGTGTTCTAAGAGTTAGTGCTACCCTGACTTGAGGTTGAAATTTTCTTGAGGTCAAACAACAGTGCTTCCTGAACTATTATAACTATGGCAGCCATGCTTATATAACTCACAAGTCAAAGTCCTATGGGGGAGGGTGAGCAACATATAGTGGTAGTAACCCCAGAAACATTTGCTTATGCTTAATTCACCAGGACTGGAAACAAGTTAAATGGCCCCCCTGTCCAGCAGCTCCCAGGGTGTGACCTACCACCTGCATGCTCCAGGGGGAGCTCTTTCACCTTTTCCCTTGAAATTATATCAGCTTAATTTGAGATTTGTCACTGGAAAGTGCAGTAAGTGCCCCAGCAACAGTGAAAATGTGAAAGCATCAGGGTCATTATGACCCATTTCTGACCCCCATGGGAAGGACTGACAAGATGTGCATCCTTTGTCTCAAGATCCTTGTCCCTTGTCAGGAGCAGTTTCTCGGACACTGAATATATGCCCAGCACTGTATTGGATGCCAGGTGGATGCCCATAGAGATACGACACAGAACTCGTCGTTAGGGGTGAAGACAGGAGATCAGAAATAATGAAAACCAAAAAATCTTACTGTGAAATATTAAAGTCTGTGTCACAGACAGTTAAAGGAGTGAGGTGGTCAAAGCGAGGAGCTCCAGCACGGTCTGTGGCCGGCCAGGAAGCTTTTAGGGACACTCTGTGGAGATAGAGGAAAGGGGGATAACATTTTTTTAGCACTTTTAGGCACTAGGAGACTATTTTTAATTCTCCCCAAACCCTCTCAAAGTATTATTACTTAGTTCTACTGTACAATAAGGAAACAGATTCAGAAATGTTCAACAACCATCTGAAGGCCCACAGCTAAATGGTGGGACAGCCAGGCCTTCACACCGAGTCCCAGGACCCACAGCACATTCCACCCACCACCCTGCTTCTTCTCACCCCAGTCCATTTCCCCTGTGCTGGAATCCATCCACGGCTTATACAGATGAAACGACACAAGAGCAATAGTCAAGCCTCCAATGGAGCTTGAGTTTGTCAGCCCAGGAGTGCCCCCGGCCGCCTTCTGGATGAACCGAGGCTTAGTGCTGTGTGTCAGGATGACGTTCAGCCTCCCTGCGTTGGTGGGCCGTGAAGAGCCCTAACTGTCAGTTGTATCGAGCTGAAATCTGCTTTCCTGAGACTCACCACCCTGACCCACCCCCGATTTTTATCTTTGTTCCGAATGGAAAGTGTTTCCCCTTCCTACACGACAGCCCTTTGTGTACTCGAAAACTAGTACTGTGGTGTCTTGAAAGCTTCTCTTCTGGAGCCAGAGCTGCGGTTTAGGGAAACGCACCTGCACGAGCAACGTGTACGACAGGTTAGAACAGAGAGAGCAGAACCAGAGCCAGTAAGTCCAGGGAGAAAGCCCATGTGAAGGGCCAGAGGAAAAGTCAAAACCTGACCGAAGACAGTAGAAATAGAAACGGATGAGGACAAGATGGAAGGTATATGACGGTGATAGGACTGGTAAGTCTTGGAAGGGAACTTGAGGATGACGTGGAGATATTTTCTTTCCTGTTCTTCTTGGTTGCATTTTTTGTTGTTGTTCTTCATTCTAAAGTTCCTGTGAAGTTTAATGAGGCTTTCTCTCATGAGCTTTTTGTACTTGCCATGACCTTTGGCTGTAAGCAACAGAAACATAATTTTTACAAAAAGATGTTTCCCCACTGCAAGAGTATGGATGAACCTCAGATGCATTTAGATAAAAGGGCTCAAATGGTGCCATTGGAATCCAGTCTCCCTTCATATTGTAGCAACACTTTCCCTTTGTTTGATCTGTTTTACTTGGGCTTTGCCTAAGTGCTGCCAGAGTTGGCCACAAAAGCTCTGGGTAGGTATCCTATTCTCTTAGCAACACAGCAAGTCCTCATTTCCTACAGTTGTGATAAAAAGTATTAAAACTAGTATTGTTGACTGCATTTGGCCTGGGGCTAATCAGGTGCACAGTAGGTGCGGTGTCTGGCTCACACCCCCTGGCCCCCAAGCAGCATGAACTTGATTGGAGGGCAGCTGGATCCCCAAGGAAGATGATGATGGTGTCCGTGAGGGGCATGGATGCTGAGCAGATCATAGTAGCAGGTGTCCAGAGCTCTCTTTCTGCCACGTTACTGAGGAATCATACAAGATGTGAGCCCTTTGCATTATTAGGTATAAAGCAGCAAGCTGTGCTTGACCTCATGGGAAGGAAAGTTCATTTTTCTGTTCCTCATCATCGTCATAATCGTGTTGAATTGCGAGCAGTCCTTCTCCACCAGTGTGCTGGCATGTCGGTGTGCAGGAAGGCTTCAGGGGCTGTTAAAGATTCCATCCAGTTGGCTTTAGGAGCTCAGCCACTTGGTCACTTTTTCCTGGGCTGTTTTCCAAGAGGCTTTTCCCAGAGTCTTAAGGGGCCTGAGCCGCACAGGGGAGGGGAGAGCCAGTACCGTGGGGTACAGTGACCTCTTCCTTAGCCCTTATTTCAGAATCCCAGGTGACACTGTGAACTCTGAAACTATTAGCAGCACCTGTCACATAGCATTCAGTGTAGAAATTTAATGGCTGCGTGAGGGATTTTGATAGCCTTGAGGTAAGCCAAATAAAAGGAATCTGCTTTATATTATCTCATCATAAGGTTTGAATTGAATATTTCCATTCCTCCATGAGGGAAGATTCCTAGAGAATTTGCCAGATGTTTGGAAGAATGAGGTCCTGTTACCTAGAAGTGGTAGATGTGGCCTACCTTTTCTATCTGGCCAGTGTGCCAGTGCATTGTCCGCATTGACCCCAACATGGGGAGTTTTTTTTCAATCTCTTTTACTCTTTCTACTCAAAAACTGTCCATCTAATCAATGCTTATTGAGTGACCTTCTATATTCCAGTTATTGAACTCTCTGTATATGGAATTCTGCAGGACAGAGCCAGGTTTCACATTCGTTCAGGAGCAGGTCATTGGGAAGAGGCGGCAGGTACATTTTTCCTGGCTTCACTTTGGATGGGGTCTGGCCTAAGGCAGCTGCTTGCATACTGCTTGCAGTGGAAAGGACAAGCCCAGGGAGCGTTGCTGGGTGGGAAATAGAAAAGCAGAGGCCGTTGTTTCCATTATCTCCATATCGTGACTGTGCGGCTGAGAGGCACGGTTCTGATGGGAAGGGGAGGAACCAGCCCTGAGCTGCCACGTTCTGGCCCCTCCAGTTGACACATAGCTGTTCAAATTGGTTTCATCCCCACGGGCTTAAGATGAAAACCCTTCCTTCTCCAAAGCTTTTCCAAGTGTGACCTGTGGCCCACCCCAGAAAGAGAGGATCTCTTTGGCCTGAGAATTCATGTCCAGTACTGAGTGGAGGTCCACAGACCCAGGGTATCCTACTAGTGACTTCTCAGGGGTGTTACTAAGTATCCTAAATCTAGCCTGTTGATAGAATTTGCTGAGTGTGTGGTGCTGTCCTAAAACTGTCTGCCCCACATCCCTTGCCCTCACTGGCCAGTTTTCTGTGAATGTGCCTCTAGTTTGGGAAAGGAAGTTCTTGGGGCACCCTCAAGTGTCTCACAGTGCTTGTGGTTTTCAATTACTGCTGTAGTTCTGTATTAATTAGAAGTTTGCAGAATTACTGTTAAGTTGGATGGAAATTTTGTTCTTATGTAATGATTGTATTGTTACTGTTTTAATTAGTGTTTAGCTTCTTTTGAATTCTTTGTTAATCGTGGAGGCTTTTTTCCACTGGAAAGTGGGTCTGGGTGGGGAAGGTGTATGAAGTTGTGGTTTGAGTACAGTCTCTAGTCTGGAGGGCTCTGCCACTCACTCGCTAGCTTGGTAACCCTGGGAAAGCTATCTAACCTACCTGATGCTACAGAGTAGAGACGTTGTACTCCATAGGCTTGCGGATGAAATAAAACAGTTCATGTGAAATGCTTAGTTTAGTGTTTGGCACATGATTGGTGGTGGGTGGTTGCTTTTATATTTGACAGATGTTAAAAAAAACCCACACAATTGAGAATCCATCACTCTAAAAGTCAACTTTAGAGTGTCTCCTTTCCTTTACTCCCTTAATTCAGTTGCCTAAATTGCAATGCTAATGAGACTGATATCACTGGGTCCCTCAAATTACGTTCCCATCCTTAGCTGTTTATCGCCCTAGAGATAGAGAGGAGGACGTCGGGGGAAACGATGGAAGTTAGCCTTTTTGGAGTGGTCCGGGGGCCACAGGATTTGGGTTCCACGCTCTGTGTTGAATATTTTCTGTTTCCTCATTTAATTTTCACAACTACCCTAAGAGGTATTAGGAATATTAGTCTCCGTATTTTACAGGTGGCCAGACTGAGGTTTAGAGATGTTAAGTGATTAGAGAAAGTGCATTAATCCTACTAGTGACTTCTCAGGGGTGTTACTAAGTATCCTAAATCTAGCCTGTTGATAGAATTTGCTGAGTGTGTGGTGCTGTCCTAAAACTGTCTGCCCCACATCCCTTGCCCTCGCTGGCCAGTTTTCTGTGAATGTGCCTCTAGTTTGGGAAAGGAAGTTCTTGGGGCACCCTCAAGTGTCTCACAGTGCTTGTGGTTTTCAATTACTGCTGTAGTTCTGTATTAATTAGAAGTTTGCAGAATTACTGTTAAGTTGGATGGAAATTTTGTTCTTATGTAATGATTGTATTGTTACTGTTTTAATTAGTGTTTAGCTTCTTTTGAATTCTTTGTTAATCGTGGAGGCTTTTTTCCACTGGAAAGTGGGTCTGGGTGGGGAAGGTGTATGAAGTTGTGGTTTGAGTACAGTCTCTAGTCTGGAGGGCTCTGCCACTCACTCGCTAGCTTGGTAACCCTGGGAAAGCTATCTAACCTACCTGATGCTACAGAGTAGAGACGTTGTACTCCATAGGCTTGCGGATGAAATAAAACAGTTCATGTGAAATGCTTAGTTTAGTGTTTGGCACATGATTGGTGGTGGGTGGTTGCTTTTATATTTGACAGATGTTAAAAAAACCCACACAATTGAGAATCCATCACTCTAAAAGTCAACTTTAGAGTGTCTCCTTTCCTTTACTCCCTTAATTCAGTTGCCTAAATTGCAGTGCTAATGAGACTGATATCACTGGGTCCCTCAAATTACGTTCCCATCCTTAGCTGTTTATCGCCCTAGAGATAGAGAGGAGGACGTCGGGGGAAACGATGGAAGTTAGCCTTTTTGGAGTGGTCCGGGGGCCACAGGATTTGGGTTCCACGCTCTGTGTTGAATATTTTCTGTTTCCTCATTTAATTTTCACAACTACCCTAAGAGGTATTAGGAATATTAGTCTCCGTATTTTACAGGTGGCCAGACTGAGGTTTAGAGATGTTAAGTGATTAGAGAAAGTGCATTAGCTGATTCAGTCTTCCTAGCAGCCATAATTCAGGAACTGTTCGGTGACTCATGTCCCCTTGAAGTGATCCTGGAGAGTTGGGTTCTATTCTTTCAAGACAAAGGTTCTTGAGAGGCTTACTTGAAAGCATTGTAAATAAACCTGAGATAACTGCTAATCTATCAGAAGCCAGAAGCCACAGTCAGAGACCTTTCATTTCAGGAAATTGCCCTTACCTTTGAATCTCAGTCTGACACTAGTCTAGTGGACAACTGAGAGATCTATAGGTTTCCCCAGATCAGACCGACCATTTCTAAAGGGCCAATTGGATGCCCGCTGCTTCTGCCAATTTGTAAGTACTTAGGAACCATAGACTACTGGTGTGGCTTGGTAGTTGTTTGTGTTTGCCACTGCCTGGAAAAGTAAGACGACTGGAACATTGCTATAGAGACAAGATAGAGTAGCATATCTCTTACCAGCTGTGTGGCCTTAGACAAACTATGAAGCCTCTCTGGGCTTCAGAGTCTACATTTGTGAAATGGGAATAACAGTAGTCCCTGACCCGTAGGTGGTTGAAAGGGTTTGGTGATGTTGTGTGTGTGTGCACTTGGGAAATGCTGTGACCATGCCACCCTCTGGCCAGTGTGGTGAGGCTGCCCCCGCTCCCTGGGCTGCCTTACAGAGCCTCGTAGTCACACAGTCCTGGCAGGCATGGCTCGTTAGCTTCATTTCAAAACTCATTCTCTTTGGCTCATTTACCCAAACCAGACGGAGAGTAATGGCCCAGCCTCAGAGGGTCAGGCAGCACATGTTTCTGGTGCCCTTGGCTCATTGATCACGCCTCTCCAGTTTGGGGAATGCTTGGGGGTTCCAGGCAGGGGCCTCCTGAGACCAGGAAACCTTGAAGGAAAGTCATTTGTGCAAATTCACCTCCTAATTAAGGGTAGCTGAAAGCTCTACATTCTGCTGTTCCTTATGGATTTTGCCCTTTATAAAGAGGAACAAGTTTCTTGGGATAGAAAATTTAGATTAAATGGGA